AAAAAACTCCCAAAATTAAAAAAATAATCAGAGAAACAACTACAATACCATGGATGATAAAACTAGTAGAAACAGAGGGACTCCAAGGCCATCCTATTTCCCAGACGAAGTTCTACCGATGCTCATTGTAAGTGTAAGAGAGCAAGGAATTTTCCTTTCCCTGATAAAAAAAAGGAAATAGCTCTAATAATAAATATTGTTTAGGTCTTTGGTTTTTCCACTCGTGACCTTGAACGAAACAGCAAAATGACAGCAACCCTCGCAAGAAAACACTATCGTGCTTACTTTTCATATTCAAAATTATAAAAAAAAAGTATTATGCAAAACGCCCAATTACATAACACAGCATGATATGTAATGAATGGTTGCAGAACGTCTCCACACTAGATCTATAGCTCGTAGAAACTCCACCCAAACCTTCATACATGAGTCATATTCAAAGTTTGTCTGCATCTTTAGTCAAAAAGATTTACAGCTATTTTTGTCGGAAAGCAGCATAAAACCAACTAATATAATATGTTCAGAGATGGAATGCGCCTGAAAATGGCCGCTAGTAATCTTGGCCACAATATATAAATGGTTGGAGTTGATTCAAACGAATAAAATCTACCTTTATGCCAACTGCACAGACTGGAATTAAAACATACTAGACTGGGCACTGCCATGGCCACCGCTCTTTGCTCTTTGTAAATCATATTTTAAAAAAAAAGAAAAAAAACTTCGTTGCCCCCCCCCCGTTCAGTTGATTCTCAAAAGAGACATTTGGTAAGCTCCACGTGAATCGGAATTTCATCATAGTGCACACTCGTGGATATTACTATTATCATACTACATTGGATATATCATAATAACACTACAAGTCTATGGCTAACCTGTCACTTCTGTAAGGGCATAATGATATTATTATAAGAATGTTCCCAAGAGAAAAAAAAAAGGGACAGCCAACCAACAGGGCGTGGAAGAGATGGTTGGGGGACTGTGCGGGAGGATCGAGCCGTTCACTTGTGTAGAATAGCTGAACGCGCACAGTGTACGGGAACGGGGTGCCAAGGAGGAGATGCGGGGTGCCCATTGCGGATGGGGTCGGGTCGGGTTGGGCGGGATGATCGCCCGACTCGTCACCTGAAAAAAAAAGCGTTTCTTTTGGGGCGACGAGTCGGGCGCGATTGGCTTGTCCCATGTCCTATGATAGCCGCTTTGCAACCTCACAATCTGGCTAGCAAACCGACCCGATCCGACCCCCAAACGGGCACCCCGTAAGGCTACTAGATCTCTAGATTCTATTCTCGTTTGTTCAAACTCTGGACAGATGACTTTTTTTTTTCGCGCAAACTGTGAGAAGACACGATAAAACAAGCTGGGATATTGCATAATTGTAAATCAGATGGGACATTTTTTAGTCTGGAAATTGCGTGGTCATGTGGTATTTCAAAGTGTTTCTGTTTTAATTTCTTTTCCTTTTTTATTCAGCAGTTTAAAAAATACAATAGAAACTTACATTTACATACCAACATCACACACAAGCAGAATTCTCTTCGCATTTAAATAATAGTGTAGATGTACATGACATAATAGTCGTTCAGCTGTTTAAATGCACTAAACTCAGCATCTTGTGGTATCGGTTGCACATGCTCAGGAAATGTTGCGTAAAAATTTAACTTTAAAATGTTGAAAAAAAAACCCACGAACAAAACAAACCAAACAAGAAAAGATCCACATTTCTCCTGAAAAATTTTGGTTCCATTCTGGGCTTAGTACATTTTGACAGCTTGCTGACGATTAGTTGTAGTTTTGGGAAGGAGATAGGCAGACATCCGGGAGAACAACAGTCAACAGTTATAATATATTATTATTATCATTCATCATCGGCATCTACTTCACACAACGATTATATAGTACACAATATATCATGATTCGTTATTAGAATCTGTATCACGGACCAAGACAATCACAGGTTGGTTCGAATATATCTCTCGTGAAAGCAACCATCATGTTGATCAGAACCAACAACAATGTTGTAGCTTTCCCAGAATGGTTATATAGCGATAAGAGCGCGATGCCAGTGGAAAAGAATTCCAACCATAGTAAAAACAAAGAGATAACATTGCTCCATTCCTTTTTTTTTTAACTTCCTAAAACAAACTACATTTCAAAGATATGTTATCCACAACATATTTTGTTGACGTAAAGAAACAAAGAACTATACATTGATTTTCGTGTGAGGTGAGAAGCATTACAAAAAAAGATAATTTAAAAAATATAATAAAATGCTGCAGAGGCAAAAGGAAAAAGGGACTAAAAGGCTACAAAACACCCATCCATACACTTTTAGAAAAAACGAGGCCTTTATCTGGTCTTCAGGCAACCACAGATTTTTTTCATATTTCTCAACACTGAGAACATTTACGTAAAGGGGCAGCCATAAAGTGCAAGTTCCACCCAGGTCCACTGTTCGACGGAGTAGATACACAACCACAACAACAAAATAATAATAAATGTGATACAACAACAACAACAACAACAACAACAACAACACGATTATTCCTTCGTCGTACTTCACCAGCATCCGACCACACGACCAAACACTGAGGCTTACAGTTTTATACTAATACCGTACATGTGTACTTCGGTTCTGAAAGATCATTTTACAGGTACAAAAGTACGTAAAATAAGGGGGGGGGGTGAATTTATTGATCCCTTTTCCATACCAATCTGCTGCTGTGTACATACATAATATCACACACAGACACACACTTTGTCCTTTTCCTGGACGTCATCCCATCTCCTTTGTCAATCGTTTGTAGGCCCACAAAAGCTTCACACATAAATACTACAGGTTAACAATTTTCCTTCAGCCAGGACATAAAAACACAGGTGAAGAAAGCAAAGAAACAATAAAGCTTTCTCTAAATGAAATCACACGCTGAGTTTTTTTCCTTCACTTTATCGATTGCAATCAGTCCTTCCTGGAATGTGGCAACACATCCTTCGTGAATGGAAGTATCAAAAACACGTAGGGGGCACAACTTCAGAACGACGCATAATAAAATAGGTCATTGTAAGTCAATCATTGAGTCCAATGTAATGAGTCAGAAGAGTAAGCAATGAAAATGAAACAACCAAAGAATGTTTCCAGTTAATTAAGACAATCGCAAGTGATTTACAGTAATAACAGTGCGTGAATGTCGTAAACGATGTTATAATAAATCAAACGAAGAACCCCCCCCCTCCCCCTCAGAAAATTTAAAACAAAAACCCAGTGACAACTAAAAACCCGTCTCTATGGCAAGTGGACCCTTACACTGCACACAAGAACGACCGATAGCGTGATCCAGGTCTTCCAGTTATGCATATGTAAAAAGCATAAACAGCCAAAAACAAAACAAACAAATAAAAACGTCCCTCCTTTAAAAAAAAACAAAAACAACAAACGAACAAACGCCAGCCCTTATACATGGGGCAGGACATAAGAAAATAAAAAGATGCCAGCACATCTTCCCCCCCCCCCCTCACATGTCCACCCCCCCCACAAAAACATCCCAACAACAACAAAAAGCAAACAATACAAACCTACAACCCCCCCCTCCCTTTCCATAAACAAGTCCAAAGAAAAAGCAACCCCAACCACCCCCACCCCTGAAAAACACAAACAACATAAGACACAACAATAAACAAACAAAAAGCCCAGGATGAAAGAAATGAAAAAAAAAAAAAAAAGCAGAGACTTAGAAAATGTTTCATTCGTCTCGATCTAATTCATCTCGGGCAAGAAAATGAAACAAACCCATTACAAATCCACAAACAACCACTTTGGCAGAAGCCAGTTGCCCCCGTTCATAAAGTAAAAGTAACACACACTCCCACGTCGCCTAAGAACTATTTTGTCCAAAGTGTACTTAAGTAAAGAGGCACTTTGGATAAAAATAGTTCTGAGGCGACGATTTGTTTACACCTCTCGAATGAAACGGAAGTACAGACGGGAGTTCTAAAAACATATCTAATACGACGAAGGATGTCACACAGCCGACGAAGGATGTCACACAGCCGACGAAGGAAAAGATGAAAGGGGAGACCTAATAAAAGAAGGGAACATGACATACATGTAGAACCAAAGCACAAAACAACCCAGGCAAGAGGAATGGCAAGAGGCAGAATGTAGGTCCGAGAAACAACGTCCAACTGCTGGAAAGGCTATTAAGAAGAATCAGAGAGTGAACGAAATTTTGAACAATTGACTCAGCAGTTGGAAAAACTTTTGGAGACCGTAATTTGTTGTGTTTTTCTTCACTCCGCAACCCACAGGCAGTATAAGTGATAACAAAATATAGTCGTCAACAACATCAACAAGGACCTTGCAAAATTATTAGAGTTCTCTTCAAAATTAGCTGGGGATAAAACGCTTGGAAATTCCACCTTGAAAAAGAGCCCACAAACATGTATAAGAACAGACAGTTACAGGACCCTCCCCCTCTCCATCTTCTTCCTCGACGAACCGTATTGTGAAGTAAATAATTTCACAATAAATGTTGTAGAATTTCAGGGGATGTAATATCTCTCTCTTTCGTTCATTCCTTAAAGAAGTCAAACTCCAGTCATCATGTTATGATAAACGTAATAGATCCACGAGGGACATTCTGGGTGAATATACTAAAACAACATAAAAACACGAGACCAACGGAACAGGGGCTAACAAAATGAAATAATTTCCATGATCACATTATCTCCCTAGGTATGAGGTTAGAAATGAACAGGAAAAAACAAACAAAACAAAGACAAAACAAAACAAAAATACCCCATCTCATCCCACTAGGTTCTTAAAGAAATCATTTCTATGATCACATGAGCTCCCACGTATGAGCTTTGAAATGAATAGGACCCAAAAAAAAAAAGAAAAGAAAAACGCATCTCAGCCCAAAAGGTAAAAAAAATAAAATCATTTCCATAATCAAATGGACACCCCAGGAATGAGGTCAGAAATGAACAGGAAAAAAACACATCTCAGCCCACTAGGTTCTTTAAAAAAATAAACACATTGTCATTTCTATGAGCACATGATCTCCCCAGAAATGAGGTTAGAAAAGAAAAGATAATCTGTGCCCATATTGGGTTCTTAAAAATCAAATCTAGTAACTTTTCAAACAAGAAATGAGACCCAATGGCTAGGAGAGGGAATTCGCTTCTTGCTCAATTTGCTGAAGGATCTCCTTTTCCAGGGCGTCGTCGTCATCCTCGTCATCGTTCTCCCCTCCCACCAGCTCGTAATCCTGCAGCTCCTGCTGCAGCTCCTTCTCCCAGTCTTCTCCTGTAAAGGAGGAACAAGAACAGAACACTCGTTAGTGTCAACCGTTAGGGCGATATAATGGGGCACAGAAGGACATACTTCTAGAAAACACTCGGTAGTGTCAACCGTTAGGGTGATATAATGGGGCACAGGAGGACATACTTCTAGAAAACACTCGATAGTGTCAACCGTTAGGGTGATATAATGGGGCACAGGAGGACATACATCTATAGAAAACACTCGATGGCGATATAATGGGGCACAGAAGGACATACCTATTAAAAAAAAAAACACTCGATAGTGTCAACCGTTAGGGTGACATAATGGGGCACAGAAGGACACACTAGCACCTATAGAAAACACTCGACCGTGTCAACTGTCAGAGCGATGTGTGGAGTACAGAGGGACACACGTATGGAGAACGTGTTAACTGTCAGGGCGATGTGTGGGGTGCAGAATGATACAAATGTGACAAGTACACAAACATTAAGTCACACAAAAGGACAGTTACATAGAAAGACATGAGTCATAATGACTGTTTGTTTGAGTGAAGAGAAGCACACCGACGCAATAATGTTCATATAGTGCAGGACAGAGGTAAGACTTTTTTGTCTTTCATCAATATAAGCGTTTTACGGCACTTGCAATGCATCAAGGTCATATAAGTGCCGAAGATTAGGGGTGTTACAAGAGAGTAAAAAACACAAAAAAGGAGGAGGAGAGATGAGGACAATAGATGTTTGACAGGATCGAAGGAGCAAACCACACCAGAACACCAACCAAAGACTCAGTAATATTCTCTTAAGACGTTTATCTCGATATTACTTGTTATAATCACAAACAGACTTACAAAATGAGATAACTTGATCAGTTCATCACTTTTAATTTTAATAATAATAATAATAATCAATTTTAATATACTAAATCGGAAACACGTACAAAAATCGACGTAAATACCACGTGTAACAGTTAAATAAACCCTACATGCACGCAGGCTATAAACACCACAATAGGGCCACGGTGCAGTATTAGTACACTATGTACTGGTTTAATCCTCCAGAACCTGACCTTGAGTTCAGCGTTAAAGAAATAATGAAAATTGAAATGGTATAATAATATATGGAAATAAATTAAATAAATTACTTTTATTTCAGAAAGATTTGTAAAGTGTCTGTTTCTCGACAGCAAGTTTTAGTCTGACAGAGAACACTGAATTATATAGTCCATCAATGATTTTGTATAACTATTCCTTTGATTTCATGGTCTTAAATTTGACGTGCCAAAGATGGCATATGCGGTCCTTGGGAGTTAAACCCACAGTTAACATAAGCATGATATTATAAGTTCTACAGTGGGGGTCATGTCACTGTGGTCAAACCAGTTTTTCGATACATTGGGACTGGGTTAACACATTTATAGCTGGAAAAGGGTTAGGATATATATA